GAGGTAGGAGGCACTGAGGGGCTGACGGCTTTGGTGTTAAAACAGACACATCATTAAAAAGGAGGAAAAGTGCCTTCATCCTCCTCCTCCCTCAGTAGCTCTGGTTGGAGAGAGAAGTTGTTAAAACAGCAGAGCTCTGTAGGTAGATATGGCCCTGAGGATAAATTAACCCCAGGACATGCTGAACACTTTTTGAGCAACGCCGGGAATGGTATGTGGATGGGAATTCCCGACAGAAATCCCCACACTGCTTTGGAAATTTTACAGATGATTCAGAAACATCCTCCTCCAAAAGCAGTGCTTCAGGATGTTGTTTCTGCTCTGCTGAAACAGGCTTTTGGAAAAAGATGCAGTGCTGAGCCCATTATACTGTTATTTTACATTGCCTCATGCTACAGTTTCATTAGGTTTCCTTTGACTTTTATAGTTAGCTTATCTTGCAAATACAGTTATTCACAGGACAGAAAAATCATTCACTTAGATCACCCGTGTTGAAGAATTAGGGTAAAGGAATGCTTCAGCATATTGAAATACCCTTAGAAACCTGTAGCCTGATCCCTTTTCTGGCACAGAGACTGCTGGAGAATGTAGAATGTGCCCAATCTCATTTCCAAAGGTACTGCAGCTTCAAGTCAGATCATGATATTGCCAGAAAGCTTCAAGAATTTAATATCCCCTCTGCACCTATGACTATGTAGGAGATTGGTGATAACCAGCTGGAGCTGTTGAATATATTCCTGCTTGTAATAAAGTGGAGGCCCTTCTTAAAAGGACAGAGTAGCCAGGCCTGGACTGCTCTCAAAAATGTTGAGGGAACTCCGTAAACCACGCTTTCTCCATCTCTTCCTTCCTGTGCTCATGCATCCAGTTCTGCAATGTGCATTAACGTAGCAAAATAACCTTTCTGGGTGGGTGCTCAGTGACTCAAGCTCCTGGGAAGAAACTTCATCCCAGGTCCCTTGTGAGCATTCCTACAGCTGGAGAGGTTCATCCACTACTGCTGCTGGGTGGGAGGCTCACCACTCCTGGGAGAGCATAAAAGGAGAACAAATTTCTCTGCAGGTTGGTAGAGATAAGCTTGAGCACCCAAGTTTGAAGGTTTGAAGCAAGGGCCAAATCTCCTAAAAACATGTGATGGAGGCAAGAGGCTGACCAGGGAGAGGAAGGGTGTTAGGCTCAGGCTCATCTGTCCAGTTTTCTCGTGGCTGATTGCAAAATCTGTTGGGTATTTCATCTGTTTCCCAGCACAAAGACTTGTCAGGATGCACTGTCCCAAAGCACACAACTAACCATCTATCTGCTTTTGATTAGAAAACTTCTGTCATGAGGAAACAGAAGAGTCTCTGCAACACTAGCATAGCTGTGCTTCCTGTCTTTTCTGGAGAGGGAGAAAGTATCTCTTCTCTTTTGATCAAGGTTATATTTGTCTACATTGTTAAAAAAGAAAATACTAGGATGAAAAAGAAATCTCACCTTCTGTGGTGCAAGGGAAGGGCTTTTTATTCATCACTCAAAGCATTTCTGAAATGGCACAGGTATAGATCAAGGCAAAGCTGGGATCACAAAAGGTGGGGCTGAACAGGGATTTCTTGATTTCCAAATAATTCCTGTGTAATTTGGATGAGTCCTTTAAGCTCCCTGATGCTGCTGATATCTGTCTGCAGGATAGGAGTACATAGATGCAGAATTTGAAAGCTGCCATGAGGATGCATACATTGAGATTGCAACAAATGCTGGTGCCATGGGGTCAGATAAGTGTGTGTAAGTACTCTTACTTTAAGTGCAACTTTTTCTACAGAAACACTGGACATAGCTTTCTTAAAAAAAACTCAGAGATAAATCCTTTTAGGAAGAGCAAGTGCATATATTGGAACTGCTTTGGGAACTAGATGATCTTAAGGTCCTTTCCAACCCTAACGATTCTATGATTCTATAACCTAAATAAACAGACAAGGAAATCCAAGCGCCAGAGTTTCACACTTCACCACGAAGAATTTTGGCTGCTGTCATCACAGAGGCACATCCTCTCCTTTGGGTACCTTCTTCAGTGAAGACTAAGGCAATGTGTCACATTCCTGGCCCAGATTTTAAGCCCTCTAGGGCAGGTAATGTTTATTTTTATGACTTCTGGTAAAAGTAGAAAAAGAACATGAAAACAACATTTCAACAGTGGTAATATGGTTGCTCTTACATAGTTTCTACATTCATGGCATGAAGGTCTACATATGCCAGGAAAACAGGAGAACATCCTTACAACCCTCCCTGCATGGCAAACATCACATTCCCTTTTGCAGCTTTCATGTTGCTCACTGGGCAATCCATGGTGCAAAGGCTGGTGTAGACCTGATATTTTTCTGCCTTTTTAGTGTAGACTTTGATTTCACAGAATCACAGAATGGTTAGAGTGGGAAGAAACCTTCAAGACCATTTAGTTCCAACCCCCCTGCCATGGGCAGGGGCACCTTCCACTAGACCAGGTTGCTCAAAGCCCCATCCAACCTTGCCTTGAACACTGATGGGAATGGGGCAGCCACAGATTCTCTGGGCAACCTTTGACAGTGCCTCACCACTCTCACTGTAAAGAATTTATTTGTAATGTCTAATCTCATTCTACCCTCTTTTCAGTTTAAAGCCACAATCCCTTGTCTTGTCACTACATGCTGTTGCTAAAAGTCCCTCTCCAGTTTTCTTGCAGGCCCCCTTCAGGTACTGGAAGCTGCTCTAAGGTCTCCCTGGAGCCTTCTTTCCTTCAGGCTGAACAAGCCCAGCTCTCTCAGCCTGTCTTCATAGGAGAGGTGCTCCAGCCCTCGGAGCATCTTCATGGCCTACTTTGCACTCCCTCAAGCAGTTCCACATCCCACTTGTGTTGGCAGCTCAAAGTTGAATGCAGTACCACAGGTAGGGTCTCATGAGAACGGAGTACAGGGGAAGAATCACCTCTCTTGACCTGCTGGTCACACTGCTTTTGATGCAACCCAGGATATGGTTGGCTTTCTGGGCTGCGAGTGCACACTGCTTCTTGTCAATCAATGTCCCCAAGTCCTTCTCCTCAGGGCTGCTCCATTCATTCTCTCTGCCCATGACATGTACATGTAGTAGAAATGCTAGGCAATAAGCAGTAAGAAACTAAAATTGCAACACCCTTAAGCAGGACCCAAACAGGGATCTCATATATAAGCAGCATTTCCTGCCAGTTTTCTAATCTTTGTGAAAAACAAAAATGTCTGCAATGTTTTTAGGTATTCTTAAAAATGTATTTGTTTGCCAGAGATTACATCCCACTCATTTCTGATTATTATAAAACTCCTGTAGACATTGAATAACCCCCAAACTGGGATATTGCATGGCTCCGGGACATCTAAATATCCTGGCACAAAATTGCAGCTAGATAAAGGGGGCTGGACAGGGGGGACCACACTGAGGGGCGTAAATCTCCCCAGCTTGCTTTCCTATAGCTTTGTGCCTTACATTGGAACCTCCAATTCCTAATAAATGAGAACTTCTGGTATTTTGTGGGGCTGATGCATCCCTCGTCACTCCCTGCTCTCAGGGCATGTGGGTGGTGGGAGGGTGTGGGGAAGCCTGGGGGACCTGATGTATCTCCCTCTGCCAGCGTGAGAACAGCCTCTCTCGCCTGCTTTCATGTACTGTGCAGAAATGTATATATGTTTCACACGTGTACCCTCTGCCAAACTTCAAAAGCTGCTGTGGGGGGTGTAGGGCACTGACAGACATGAATGCCATAATTGCACATGCCGTGTTTCCTGCCTTACAAAGACAAAAGAAAACCCAACCCCATTAAAAAAAGAAAGAATAAATAAAGAACAGCATTCAAGACATTGTTGGTGCTCAGCAAGAGCAAGCCCAGCCTCAGAGGCTGATGGCACTGCATGCTGCAGCACAACTGGCAGATGTTCCCAACAGCCAGTGGCAGGGATGAGCGATCACAAGGGCACCATCCCTCCTGCCTGTGCCCCTTGCACCCCTGTCTTCAGCATCACCCACTGTGGGACTCACAGGCCTGTCCTGTGTGGCAGGACATTGCTGACTGCTTGAGATGGCATGGATGTGGCTAGGTCAGGCCTTGAATGGCCTGGGGCTTCCAGGAAATGGAAATTTCTGGTCTGGTGGTTACCGGTTGCAGTCGAAGACCAGTAAGCCCACTGTTGTTCTCACTGCCCAGCTGCTCAGCCAAAGCTAGCCCTAGAAAAGTCGCATTCTGAAACAATCAGCTACTGTGTGAAATGGGAGCAGGCTTTATATGGCTGATTTTATCCTAATTAATTACCCACTATTTCCATACCAATGCCACACAGAACTGTGCCAAAGGGGTCTACAATCCTGTTTCTTCACACTTCACAGCCACCTCTCCCTCACTAGGTCTGTCCTATACGGTCCTGGAGCAGCTGGAGAGAAGACAAAAGGGAAAGGAGAGGAATGAGAGGTGGAGAGTGGGAAGAAAAGGGAAAGAAAAGGAAAGAAGAGAAGTGCAAGAGGGAGAAGAAGAGCAAGAGGGAAAAGAGTGAGAGTGAGAGGACAGAAGAAGAGAGCTGTCAGCCAATTAACCACCTTGAGCTTGCACAGCCGTGCAGGGCGGGAGCGGGATCAGGCCTGGCTGCCAGGCATTGCCAGCCTGCTATGTAAATAGGCAGGACAACATTTCGACACCAGGCGTGTCCGTTCCCAGTGTTTATCCCCAAACCCTCCTGATTTAAAAAAAAAACAAACAAACAAAAACTTCAATGAAATGGCTGAAACATGTTGTAAACATCTGGAACTCAGGCTATCATGGCACGAGAGAAGGGGGAGAAAGCGAGTGAGACAGCAATTTGAGGGGGAAAAATACCCACTGAGAGCCAGAAGTGGGACAACAGCTAATTACAAACAGGGGCTGAGAAAGGAAGCATCTCTAACACTCCTTACCTTGTGGGCGAGGGCTGCTCACGTTGAGCTGACCAAGGAAAGCGAGAGGGCTGGAGTGCCTCCTGCGCACGCCGCCGCGCTCTCGGCGTGCCGGGGGCTCCTTCCTCAGCCGGCCGGGTGGTTTTTTCTCTTCCTTTTACGCCACCCTCCCTGCCTCTCCCAGGTAAGCGGCAGAACTGGCTCTGCAGCAGGAAGTGGAAGAGGCATGCACGGCACGGCGCGGCACAACGTGGCGGCGGTGGAGAGGGAGCCTCAGGGGGGGAGTGACACTTTGAAGCTTAAAACCCTCTCGACGTGCCTGCGTGTGCCTCGCTCCCTCTCTCTGAGAAAGCCCGGCTGCCTCTGAGTGAGCCCCCCCAGATAAACAGCTCTAGGGAAAACCCGGTGTGATTCCTAAACAGTGCGCCTTGCCGGGAAAGTCATCCTTTGCTTTCGTCCTCAGTCGCTTGCTGTCAATGCCAAATGTTAAACCAACTGTGATTCAGACTACTGAAGACAATCACATGATGGGGATAAGAACTATATGGAAAAAAAAAAAACCCCAACAAAAAAAAAAGGATTTTTCTCGACTTTTTTTTTCTTTTAGGTTAGGCTCCTAGGCACTTCCAAGTTTCTCTCTACACCCCCCAAGGAGTAGAAACTCGCTTTTCTTACAAGCTGACACCCTTACGTATGTGCACAGCTCTTGAAGGCTCAGTAACACTGGTGCTGATGGCACAGTGTGGTGGGGTTCAAAGCCGTGGCTGCTTTGTTGGTGCAGTGCCAGACTCCACAGCAGCAGTCCCTCGTGTGCCCGCTGGACACAGCTGTGTGTCCCAGCCTACACTGCTCTCCTGACCCCCCACTCAGCACATCTCCCTGCCAAGAAGCTCTTCCTGATCTTTGGCCTACATTTTCTTCACTTAACCCTGCGAGGAGTCTGACTTGTCTGCAACTTGTGCATGGCTCTTCATCCTCCATGGGCTGCCGTCACACACTGCCTTAATGCCTGACAGGCCAGCCTGGCCACACAAGGATGTCCAAGCCATAGCTGAGCTCTGAGCTCGGGCAGTGCCACCACTTCTCCTTCCTGCACCCTTCTAGACCCGGCATCCTGGCACTAGGGTCTGAGGAGGGAGTCACCTGCCTGGCATTCCTCCCTGGGACCAGCCTTCTCTGGGAACCTGCCATTCTGTCAGCCCCATGGCAAAGCCGTGACCCAGGCACGCACTTCCTCTTGCCAAAGAACGACTGCCCACATTTCTGGTGGGAAAATTCAAGCGGCTGGAACAGCATGTGCCCTAAGCCAAACACTAGATACGATTGTATTGGCAGCAGTGCAGTGATGCCATGCAGCCTGAGCCTGTCTTCCTCCAGGAGAAATCCCATGTCAGCCTGACCCACCGGCTGGCTATCCTGACCCCTTCCTTCCCTCCCTCCTTCCTCCCCCACTGAGGCACAGGCCATCAGGACACCAAGGCTCCCTTTTGGTGCATCCCAAAGTTGTCCTTCCCTGCCCACAGACTGCCCACACAGTCCCTGCTCTGTCAACATGTCCCAGCCTGACCCGGCCATGACGGGCAGTTGATGCTTGCGGCAAGAGTGGCTGCATTACAGCCACAGTTGTTTGAGTCAGCTGAGGGTTTAATCCCTCTGGTTTGCAGTCAAGCATGGCAGCTCCGCTGCATGCCTGTTTTGCACCATGAACACCCGTTTTCCACAGAGCTGCCTGAGCCATGAGCTGCACAACACCTGTTTCTGCCTGCTGCCCTGCTCCCCAGCCTCCCTGACAGCCTCCTGCCTGGAAACAACAACGGCCCCACTGCAGCCTGTGTGCCACAGTGGGGAATGGCAGACCAAGGACATGCAGGAGCCAAAATCAGGACCTTGGTGAACGTAGAGAGGATGGGAGCAGGGAGGGAGAGCTGCTCTGAGGAGTGCCTGACCTTCCTTGGGCTTACATGAAGGACTGATGTAGTGTTTGCAGTGTGTCGATCAGCTCCCCAGGGAGTTCGGGCAGTTGCAGCTGGGCATGGGAGCTCAGTGCACAGAGTATCCCATGGGGATGTTGCATCTATACCCATATTTGTGGGGTTTGTTTGTAAAGGGCTGAGCTGTGTAGCCAGCAAACATCTCTCCCTTCACGCAGTGGAGTGACCTTCCATGCCAACAGCAGTTACACTCAGTCTTCTGTTATCCATTGGTCATACCCTGAACATGGGGCTGTAACACCCAGCATACAGCAGTGGCCACCTGCCTTCCCTGTAGAGGGCTGCCTGTTGGCCAGAGGAGGGAGATTGTGGCTCTGACAGAAATGCGCCTGCTAGCTCACTCAGCATTCAGGCCTGTGGGCTTACTTCCATCCTGACCACTCGTGCCTAACTTCATTTGAAGGGTATCTGTGGCCCAAAGAAAGGAGTGCAGAGCAGCCTTCCTCCTAAGGACACGATGCCTAAGGAATACACTGTGAAATCTGGCCTTGTGAGCATTTCCAGGTCCAGAAATCACACCTGTGGGCCAGCCTCTCCCCTCTCTTTAACTTGCCAGACCCCAGAAACCAGCAGGTGCTTGAGTCTGCTCCTCTCACTTGAGCTTTATGTACTTTCTTAGCAGCCTGAGAAACGGAAAAAAAAAGACCTTGAAAGACACTCTCTGCTGGCTGTGTGAGCAGCACTGTTTGCAGACAGGGTCCAGTCCAATCCTAAGTACTCTCCACAAAATTGTAGAAACTGCTATCAATGAACTTGGTTTTTTTGATCAGGAAACTCGGAGAACATATATCCAAGTTTATTTCAGCATTTCAAAAGTCTCTCCCATCCCCAAAACTGAGGCCATCCTAATTGCTTTATGAAGGCCTGTTTTATATTTCTGAGGTCTTCATGTTGACTTCACTGAAATCTGGATCAAGCTCTGAACTCTTTAAAGTTAGCATCTCATCTGTACATTATTTACAAGCAGAATGTGATGCATCACATTGGCCCATCATAGAAAGTACAGATTAATATTCAAGTGCAGGATGAGTGTTTTCATTGGCAAGGCAACTAACATGGAGACTTCTTATAAAAAGCGGTTGCTAGTTCTTCAGGAGTTGTAATATTTCTTTTTTGATTAGCTAGATAATGTCAACTTCAAGTGCTGCTTTCTGTATTTCCTACCACATCTACAGATTCAGAGAACTAAATCATAAATGTTTTTGCTTCCAAATGATTAACTGTTCAAATAAAGCACTGTCATGTTGCTCCACTTTTAACATTGGTGCTGTGAATTAACCTGGAGACATTGCAATGAACATTTATCCCATTTTAGCTTAACACACGTGACACTTTGCTTCAGTCCTCTAGATTTGGCTTGCTCCTTGCTGCTTCTCTCTGCTTTTTGCAGAGAAACTGGGGCTTTCTTTCATGTCTTGCTGTTTAGAGTGCTAGGCACATGCCTAAAAAAATAATTTGCACTTTTTCCTTCTTCTTTTTAAGGCTCTTGCTTTGGCATTTTTCAGTCACGCCTTGGAGAGACACCCGAAAGGAAAGAAAACAGTACCTGGATGTTAGCTTGTGCAATGTTTCTAATTAAACCTTTCATAATGACAAAAACCCTCCTGCCATTTGCTAAGATTTTCCCCACAGCATTATGCATGCTCTTAATTAAGAGCAGAAGCTAAGTAATACCTATTTCATTCCCTCTTGCTTCCAATTAGTCATCCATTGATCATTACCCACCCAACATTTGACAATTAACAGAGCCCCCACTCTCCGCAGGACCGGGATGTGTAGTCCTTCAGAAATGACACGTCTAGAATAACGTGAGGGGAGCTGTGTGGGTGAGTAATGGGGCGAGAGGTAGGGGGAAGGGGAGGAGAAGGCCACCCAAGTGGAACAAAAGATGTGTAACATATGCAAATGTTCAGTATGCAGTATGTGCTTTATATGCTGGATGTATATGAGGTCATGTACAAAGCTCAGCTGGCGGCCGTGCTGCTTTTGGGAGACATGGGAATTTGAGGGAACACTTGAGCTCTCATATGATCAAATGTACCTAGTCCTCTGTCTTCAAGATGCAAAGTGGTTCCTCATTTGGCTCTTTGCCTCTGCTTTTTTAGGAGGAGGAGTTAGCATCTGCTTCTCCATTGTCAGGGGGACTGGGGGCTGTATCAACACAGCCCCTGCCAAGTCACCCCAATATCCAGCTGCAGCTAGTCATGCCCAAGCTGCTGCCAGTGGCCAGGATCACAGTGTCTGTGGGAGCCAAAGGAGCCTCCAGGGAAACTGGAGGCCCCTTCTGCATCCTTGTTTCCCCCTGGGAGCCTGGCCCAGCATCAGAGTTGGCCCTGGCACTCTGCAGTGCCAGGGGGAGCTAGCTGGGACCACCACACAACTTTTCCAACATCAGGAACCCTTCCTGTGTATCTCCTAGATGGAGAAATCCAGCAGTGTAGCAGGGCTGGAAGGCAGCCCACAGCCTGAACTGTGGCAGTGAATAAAGTATAGGGGGTGCCAGGGCTTTTGGATAGGCCTCTGGAATGAAGGTGAGCCCCAGGACCAGTGAGTAAGGCTACAACATGATTAGAAAGCTTCCCTGCATCCTTTTCTCTTTTTTCCTTTTCCGATGAAAATCCATCCATTACAGGGCTCAGGGATTTTGTGTGAAGCTGTGACAATAAGGAGCTTGGGAAACTTCACAAGTGCGGGGACTCAGCAACAAATGCTGATGCACAGAAAAGCAAACCAGAGCCCTTGGCAAGCTGTAGTCTGGCTGTAGAGGAAGGAGGATAATCTCATTTCTTTGCTCTTTGCCCTTTTAGCTATTTACAGAGCTTAATGCTGAGTTATTCCCAACAATGAGCTGAACAATTGAACTTCCATCTGGCCTGGTCAGGCAGATGCAACACTTGCTTCCCAAGTCACAAGGAGACTAGTCCCGTGATTTCTTTTTTTCCCCATCTTGAACATACACTATTTACCTCTACCCTGTAACAGAGAAGATATTTACACTTGGTAACATAAACTGTCGTTCCTGCTTACCAGCCTGCTTTAATCTGATCACCTAAATCCTTGGGCACAGTGAAACAGGGGCACTGTGGGCACAGCTGGTGCTGCAACCTTTGGATCTCTCTGTGCACGGCATGATGCAGAGCCTACCAGCTAATGACCTGTTTTTCTTGGGAGGCATTCCTTTCTGCCTTCCTGCAAGCCCACACCACAGGGCCAAAACTGCAGCCATGCCCTTGGGAGACAAGTCTTCTCTCCCTGACTTTCAAAGCAGCTTCAGGTTGCTCTTTGCAGTAGCCAGGGACCCAAGTCATCACCAGGCTGCAGCAGTAGTACTTGCCGCTACCCTCCCTCTTCTGGCCTGGGAACAGTGGGAGACAGGGAACAGGCAATGGGAGACAGGGAACAACAGAAAAATAACAACCCCCAAACCCCAACACAACAAAGAGAAGCTCTTTTGTTCTTAACACCATTCTGTCCTCTAATCTATTCATGTCTCAGTCTTACATTTTTGTTAAGCATTCAGCTGCAGAGAAAGAATGGATTGATGCTTGTATAGGCACAAATGTCTTTGTGTGCGAATTGCATTTTGAGATACAGATATATACACACGAGAACACTGGCTGTATTAAAAGTAGACAGAAAATAGCTCACAGACTTAAGATCAGTTAGCATTTCCCCTCTAACATTCAAAATGAGCCCCCATTATCTGGTTTAGGTGTCAAAAGTTCTCCTGGCAAATTCAGAAGCACTGAGAGGGAGAGACTAACACTCTACACCAGTGCTGTCCTGGCAAGATACCTCCTTCCCTTTTCTGTTGAAAGAGCACAGGTTCTAGTTTGGTCTGTGCTGGAAAATCCAAAATTGAAGTGGCTCATTCAGTTAAGATGGCAGGGAATGATGCCCCAGTTGATGGGAGCCCTTTCAGTGATAAAATTTCTCTGTGTATGAGTCACAGGAAATTATAATCACTTCTTACAGAGACTGTAGAACACAATGAGATATCTGAGCTACAAACAGACTTCAGTTATTCTTGAAAGACAGACAGACCCTCAAGCTGACACGATTGGAGAAAATAAATATCCTTTTGTCTGCACTGCTGGTGGTAATTTCCCATTAGACGGGAAAATTCTTCTTTGATGAATGAATACTGTCTACACATTAGAAGAGGAGCTACTGTGTATCTCCTAATAGCTCTTGCATGCTTGGGCTCAGCCTCATGTGAGGCCCTTAAGCCCCTTTAGTATAATGTGGTAGCAGTCATTAGTGTACTGCATTTTTCATTGCAGCATCTGAGAAAAGGATGGGGCATATAAAAATAATTTTGAGCGACTTCCCACTCACCTTGAAGCTATGTGGCTGGGTCAAAAACATTTAGCAATCTGTGTTCTCAGTCTGCAGATAGTCCTTTCCAGTCTAGAGGCTTCAGGAGAGACACTTGCACTGGAGACAGATTTTCCATTTGTGATTATTTGTGCAATTTCATAAGTTAATAACTTTTCTGTTTTGCATTTGCTTTGCTTTTCTACAGTGGTAATTAAATCAAAACCAGAGCATCACATAGAACAAAGTCAAGCACTGTTTGCAGAAGCCAAAGAATATCATATTAGTGTCTTTGACATGCTTTGGTCCTTTTCGAAGACCCACCAAGTCAATCATTTCCTTCCCACAGAGCTGTGATAACAAGCATTAATTCTACAAACTGTCCCTTTCGCAGCAGTGTTGCATTTCTGCTTGTTTTTCCTGGGACTGGTACAGGATTAAGCTTGGCCTAGAGATGCCTGGGTCACCCCATGGCATCCTTTCAGCTGCTGGAAAGTCACCTTTTCTGGAACTACACCACACCAAGGGTGAGTTGGGAGTCAGGTCAGCTGGTGGGGGGAGCGTTTGGACAGTGGTTTTTGTCTGGATGTGATTTATTTAGCCTTACATTAAAAAAACAAAAGGAAGAAACAGGAGATTGTTAATCATGTAATTCTACTTTTATAGTCACCACAGCTATTTGTGGCACATACACAGTGGTTAAGAAAAAGATTTTATTAATTTATAGCAAAAATGCTAACAACCTTGTTTAAATATTTGCTAATGTTTTTATTTGAGAGATTAAAAAACCCAAACAACAAAACTCCCAACATTAAGAAAAATAAGCGGAAGAGCTACCGGTGAGAAATAGTCTGGATTTACCACTCAACAGTGGCATCGGTCTGCACACAAGCCAGCTGCAGGCAGAAACGTGGCAGAGATCAACATGGTACTCATAGACCAAATGCGATACAGGAAACAGCAATCCCAAGAATCAGAAATAAAGGCCATAGAACCCCGACAATGCCCCATCTGAGTCTTAGTTCCAATGAGAAACATAGGCAAAACTAATGTTTTAGGCTCATCCTGCATTGCAGATGGAAACTGAACTTAAGTCTGTGGCTGCTAAGGAACTTGGTGGAATGGCCAGGCTTTGCTACTGAGCAATAGGCTGAGCACGTGACATTTCGGTTTTGCCAGCTCACTGTGTTACTATGGAGTCCTCAGTTCAGTGGATGATGTTTTAAGGCAGGGGGGTAGCTGTGGGAAAAAGAGGACCATGATTTGCTTTGTAAGTACTAAGAGGAAGCTGAAAGTCCAACAAGAATTATGGCCTCTTCAGTACTCCACAGCCACAGGTACAGCAAACATCGAATATATCATGTACATAACATTACTTATAGACTCTACATGTAAAATGTTAACCAATTTATCATGGAAATCTGGTAACAAGAACATTGCCATATAAATTCACACTTCAAGAAAGGCTAAGTGTGGAAGCCTCCTTTGCAAGAGGATTCTCAGTCAGTGTTTTCTATATAAAATATTGAAACGATGACAATTTTTTCTCTGAATCTCAGTTCATTATTGGGTCAGTTCTCAGGAATGGAAGAAAGGTTCTTCTTAGCAAATGTGTGAGTATTCAGAATATGAATTCACAATCTAGGTATTAAATGATTAAAAAAAAATTGCCAGCTGTCAGGAAGTCTTACTTAGCCACAATATTTTAAAGCAATAAAGGAATACAAGGCATAGAAAATCTTTTCCTGCAGCACTTGTAAAGATATTCACGTTAAATGCAACAGAACTACTAAAGAATAAACTGACTGTGGAACAGAGAAATGAGAGACTAGCGATGCATTCAACCATCTTCCTTACAGTTGAACTCCAGCTGTTTAAAAACATATTGACTTCATAATTTGGAAAATGATGTCCCATAGGTAACTGGTCTGCATACTCCTATGAAAAATGGTGCTCCAAATGGCATGACACCCCTTCTTGAAAAGCTTTTATCTCCTCTCCACCATTATCTCCACAGTTTAAACAAAAGAACAACTATCCAAATGTAAAATGCTCTTTTTTTTTTTAATTACTAAATTAAGAAAGTTAAACAGTTTTAAAATGTAAACTTGCAAATAAACCATAACAAAATGTAATTAAGACTTTAAAATTTGAAACTCAGTATTAAAAACTCAATAGAAATAGAAAGGAGGTTTTTTTTTTTTTTTTTTTTTTTTTTTGGTTAAACGTAAGTAATTCAAGGCTGGTACAGACAACTGAAAAGGTAATACTTTGTTCTGTGC